TAATCTGGACATTTTATCAGTCTTCTTGCTCTCTGTATAATTACAGGGCTTCTTCTTCACTTTGTGAAACCATGGAAACATTTGACCTCAGCTTTTAAGGTCGTGGCATGACCTTGTGTGTCCTGGAGCGCTCAGGATGGAGGAAAAATGTAGAAAATCTTCAAACCTCATGAAGAAACTGAACTCTGGATGGATCACAATCATGAGTGACTGTGAATATAAAAGCAAAAGGATAGTTTTAGTCTTTTTTTGTTACTTCCGCATGAATTAAGTAACTTCAAGGTCCAACAGTAAAAGAATTTATTTCTTAAGAATTTGAGAAGTTTAACTAAAACTTCTCATTTTGTGTAAAAATAACTTGAGTAAAGTGATGATAAACTAGCGATGCTAGAATGCATGATGCTGTGTTATTGGGATTTGCGCAACAGACACGGACAGGCCCTTTTTTGTTGGAAACATGAATTTTGCTCACAGAAATCCTTCATCTTTCCGTGGTGTGTCGGATGGCTCTTTATGCTCAGCAAGGTTAGATGTCTTTGAAGATGATGAAGTAAAGCAGGAAAAAGAGATTGTGTGTGTGGGAATTCTACCTGAGCTTATCAGTGAACGTGTTGTATGGAAAGGTCAGCCGGAGAAAATTAAACTGTCACGTCGACGCGAGCAAAGCGAAGATGCGGCAAGACAATCAAAATGTCCACGTACAATATGTGCTGTTCTCGTGTGTGTGTGTGTGTGTGTGTGTGTGTGTGTGTGTGTATGTGTGTATGTGTGTATGTGTATGTGTATGTGTGTGTGTGTGTGTGTGTGTGTGTTTGTGTGTGTGTGTGTGTGTGTGTGTGTTTACATTATTTCTGTTGTCACAAAGCAAGGCATGAATAAAGCTTTGAAATGCAGCAACAAAAGGTTTCAGCTTTTATTTGCTGCTCATAAAAGCAGCAAAAACTCAGACAGCACTTCCTGTTCTTGAGTTCAAGGGTCTTTCATTTATTTTAGTAATGCTGGCAAATCAAGCTTTTTATTGTTCAGATACAGATTCTGTTTCAAATTCATGTTATTTTTGTCTCCTGACAGGAATATTTTAAATGATTATATCTGGTGTGAAAATAATCATTTTTGATGAGATTTGTTTGTATTTTCTCATGAAAACAAGCAGCATCGGTCATGAGTGTCAGGGCTGAATGATTATGTCAGTTAATGTAAAGTAAGATTACACATGTAAAAATGAAATTACTGCAAGCAAATGAAATCTTAAGAGATCCAGTGAGTGACTGTTTAATTTCACCAATCTCAGTTAAACCCCAATCATTATTTAAGATCTAAAAATGGATTCAGATCCTATGAAAATCATCACTTTTAGGCTTGATTACATTCAATTTCAACCAAAATTTTTATTTTCCCACCTAAAAAGAGCTCATGGAGGACCACCCAACTGCTGATGGCTGACGGGGGTTTTCAACCACACGTGGTCTTGAATTAAGTTGCAAATGTTTTACTCAGTTAGAAAAGGTCACCTTAAAGGTTGGTTTATGCTTGACGCATCCGCGAGGTCCGCACGGCTCTGCGCGAAAAAGTTGCGTCATTTTAACAACCACGCCCCTCCACCGCGTGCAAAATTTTGTAACCACGTGGACGGTCAGACGCGGAAAAACATGGCAACCTGGCAAGAACTAGTATGGCAGAGGTTCGTAAATACAGACATTTGTATGATTCAGCTCTCAGAGATCACCGTGATCAACATGTTGTTAATAATTCTTGGAGAGAAGTAGCTCGCACTGTCGGAAAAGACGAGGACGCTGTTAAAAATGCTGGAATGTCATGCTGTAAACAGTATTTTTTACTTCTACTATGGTGTAGTGTTGGATGCATGCCGTAGAGCTCCATGCTGCCCCGATCCATTTGGGAGAATATTGGCTCACCACAGAGACAAGCCGCATGAACCATAAACGCTGCGAGTCGTGAAGCGCGTTCCATCCGCGAGCCGCATCACCAAGCGGAAAGTGAATGTATCAAGCATAAACCAAGCTTAACGCTGCTTTAGTGAATCTACAGAACAAGCTAGGTTTTGAACACAAACACAGTCATAAAACAATCACACCTCCCATTGGGTGTCTTCCCTGAGAAGACACCCAATGGGAGGAACCATAAACCCACAGTTCAAGAGGAAACGAGATAGTTCTAAACAGCAGTCGCCGTTTTCTTAGTCTAAACGTTTTGTTGTGTGTGACATCAAATGGTGTTTTTCTTTTTGGGACTCTGGTAGTTTGTCCTTAAGTTTTATTTGTGTATTTATTCAACCTTATTAAGTCTTTTGAGAACTCATTCTAGTCCACTCAAGTTGAACTGGTAGCAGCAAAAAGCGTTATTGGCAGACGTTTTCAGACAAATGCGAGTTAATCACTTCTTTCATTTTTCCCCCATGTTTTCAATCTCAGTAGTATAGCTATACTATGTTCGAATGTTTTTAAAGGGACAATGTGTAGTTTTTATCGTTAACTATGGAAACATCCACCAGAATGTTGTTGAAAATTAATGAAATGATGCCCAGCTGTTGAAGATGCCATGTTTCCTTCTACATGAGCCCATGAGGACAAAATGCATTTACCAATTTGTAACAAGCGGTTACTAAACTTTCACCATTCATAAACATTGTTATTTTACACATTTACCTCTTTACTCATTGCCAATGATGAAAGGGAGTCTGATGTGCTTGTTGTTTAGCTGAAGTTTGCATGCCCCAGGTCTTTTTAACCCTAATGGGCATCCGTTGGTAAGGTCTTATTCTAACACAAAAATACAGCTTACTTGAAACAATTCAGATATCTACTGCCCCCTATTGCCAGGAAAAATACACACTGTCACTTTAAGAAGCCTGAAAAATGTTTTAAGATAATTTGTTTCCCAAATTTGCCATTGTACCTTTAATGGTGTGATTCACTGAAAAAAAAATTCAATGTTTTTTTCTGATTATGATGGGTCACTCTGAGAGCTGAACATGAGAATAGTCTCCTACACCTCCTTCTCCTGCATTAGCTTCTGATTGAAACTCTAGGATTAGAAAAGCCTGACGGATCGACGTCACTTAACATTCTGCAGCTGTTAGCAACTACAGCTAAAGACACAACAAAGCGGAAACGTGTTCTTTTGGAGCTGGAGTCACACAGAATTGGTTTGTAAAACACAAAAGTTAAGACTTTTTTTTACAAATGCAAATGTTCCTGCAATTAAGTGAAGCAGCATCTCAGTTCAGTCTCATTTATTTCATGTTTTATTGTAATTTTACTTTAAAATTTTCCAAAGTTGTCTGAGATTTTCTGATTCACAGAAACTAAACTGAAGGAGTTTTGAGCTCAGCTCTATTTCAGCGATGGCCACCTGACTGAAAGTAAAGAATTTTTTTTTTAAAAGACACATTTTCTCCACTTTCTTCATTTCTACTCAGAACAAGTACCGAGACTAGATGAGAACATATGTGTTGCACAATTAGAAATATTTGATTCATCCTCCAGGTCACTCCCACACCTCTGACCTGCAGCAGTTTGTCTATGGGTCTTTTAACGTGTCATAATAAGGTAATGTTTTCCTCCCACACCTGTTAGCCTTCACAGAAGGAGCCAGCAGTGGGTATTAAAGTGGTTTTAAGGCATAAAGGGAGTGACTAACCGCAGCAGACAAAGCCCACCTGTTCACACAGCACTTCCCTGGCTCATTAGGAGACAAAGTTACCATCCAAGATGTGATTTAAGATGTGAACAGTAACTAGTTAGGAAGCTGCCAAGGGAGAACATTTAAGATGTGGGTTTTCCTACCTGATCCTCTCTGTTTGAGGAAACACATTAATTAGGGCAAACTGAAGAGGTAATTAGGTCTTTGTCTATAAGATCTGGTAAGAAAATAACTGACGGTGTTTGGATTCCTCTTCTCAGGTCAACAGGTTGGCCTCCTTCCGGCTAACATTCTGGTGTTTCTCTGTACACTTTATGTTTAGCTCAATTTTTTTTAAACCATTGTGTTCTTCCAAAAATTTCCAGAATTTTTAATTAACTTTAACTTTTTAAAATCTGATGACTGAATGAATCAATAATAAATAAATAAATAAATAAATAAATAAATAAATAAAATGAAACTACTTTGCCAGCGTTCGTATAACTGTTACTCAACAATCTGTCACAGCTAAATATGTAATTATATATTAATAAAATTAAACAAACCTGGCACTTGACAGCTGCAGTTTTCACAGCTCTCACCAGACCATGAACGATTCAGCAGTGTTTCGAGGAAACAGCTAATCCTGTTAAGTAGTTTAAAGACCAGGGGCCTCAAGCATCAACTGTACTTATGTGCAGATGTGTGCGTTTATCCTGTGTAGGAACTCACTTAACCCTTCCACTGTCTTTGTGGGTGACCCCGCGAGGAAAGTTGACCATTGAGCAGGATTGATGGTTTATCCTTTGAGGTCCACGTGGCAGAGGTGAGGTGGTGCTCACTCCTCACCCCTGCCACATGGACCCAAGGCATAAACCATAGGAAGGACTCCTCTGATCATCTCCCTCTCTAACCCCTTTGGATTACCACCTGGATGACTGAGAACCTTCACCAGCATTCTCTCTGTCTCTCTCATATTTCCTTCTTCACTCACTCTTTTTACCTCTTTCTGCCCTTGAAGAAGACAGCTGGACCAAATGGGATGGCAACATAAACATCCTTTTTTTACCCTGAGTTTGCATCACTCCTCACCCTGTCTCCTCTGAAGGTATTTTACAGATAACTGAGCATTTCTGTTTGTACTCAAGACTTTACTTTGGATTTAGAAGAATTTAAAGAGTTTGAAACTTCACGATGTCAGGAAAACAATGTGAGTTTGTAGAGTCTCACTCTGCAGTCTCCCCCCCCCCCGAATAAACAAGTAATCATGGTATGCCCCTTTAAGAGTTGGGGGTTGACGTTCCGGTATGTGTCCCCTGCTATGATTCGGTGGTTCGGTCCAGTCGGCACGCTGCCGCTGTCGTTTCCCGGTCGAGGCGCAGTTGGAGCTGCAGACCGATTACCGAGCGCACGCTGAGCGTCTCCTCCTGCGTCTCATCTCGTCTTTTTCCCTCCCGCGGTGGAAGGTCAGTTCTCCCCTTAACTTCTCTTTCTGGTTCACATCACTTTCCATTTTTCTCTTTTTTAATTTTTGTTTTACATTTCAACACGTTTGGGGGGATTTTACCGGAGCTCCGTGCGTTGGACTGATCCTGGATCCGTTTCTGGTCATATTCTAACGGAGGGAAACTCGTCTTCCTTCTTATTTTCTTAGTTTGTCTTGATTTCTTCTTGGAGTGCTTTTCTCTTTCTGCTCTTTCAGGTAAAACGTTTCATTTTCCTGCATTTTTGTTCTCAGAGTTTTACTTCTTCGTTATTATTTAAGTTTGTTTTGTTCTGGGACTGTAACGCTAAGCAGCCTGAGCCCATGAGGTGGTGATATGATGATGATGATGATGATGATGATGATGATGATGATGATGGTGATGATGATGATGGTGGGGATCAGGCATCAGCATATTGTTAAACTGAACTTTTCTTAATTTTTCCTGGATGGACGGTGGTGATCTCTGTAGTGAATCTTAGTGAGTTTCTGTGGCTGATCAGTATTTTTTTCTACAGTAGCTACACACACACACACACACACACACACACACACACACACACACACACACACACACACACACACACACACACACACACCAGCAGATCAGACTTCTGTTTTGGGCTTACAATCCCTGCTGCCGTGTCCATCTTCATGTTTGTTCTCATCAGATAAATTGTTTTGGATTTTGATCATTTTAAAATGAGTAATAAAGTTTGTTGCTTCAAACTGACTGAATGAAAAAGCCAGTTAGATAAATCTGACCAATCAGGGGCTTTAATCTCCTAAAACCAAAAGGTCTGTTTGCAAAAGTTGCTTTGAGATGAGAAGGTGGATCCAATAATTTGACAAACATGGAACAAAATGTGGGAAAAATTATTTTATCATATGAGATTAAACCTAAAACAGCGGAGCTATAATCAGTGTGAAAAATTCAATTTCCTCCCCCCTAAGACTTTCTGATTTAATTTTTTACCACTCTCCATGCCTACGCTACCTTTTCATTCATTAACACTCCTGAGAAGCGGATGTTTGACTCGTCTGTGTAGCATCATTAGAGGAGAAGGCAGCTTTTCACAATTGTCCGATAAAAGCTTGAAAAAAATAGTTGAAATCCCACAATAATGATTCTCACACCACCCCCTGCAATGCTAATTTGTGTTTAATGTGCAGATTTTGATGCACTTTGTGATATGAAATGAGTTGGGATGCAGCTGTAGGCGTGATTCAGAGACCTGTGGAGCACAGTGAGGCTGCAGACTGCTGCTTTGGCTTCTGAATTGGTCACATCTGTATTTTTACGCCCAGACAGTACAGCTGTTTCTCTTTATTTTGACTGCATTTAAAATATTTATCTTCAGTTTGGGTGAATTCAGAAAGCTGTGATAATGGACGAACTGCTGCCAGTCCAAAGGTCACGTGTGTTTCTGAGGAGCAACAAACACAGATTCATTTTTAAGTGTCAGGTTGAGTTATGACTCAAACCTCCTTCCATCCACCCTCATATGGATTGATCATGGCTACAGCAGGATGCTCCAGACTTCCACTTCTACCTTATTCAGGCGAGTCTCGGATGTCCCCTAGGCCATTTAGCAGCCTCAATCTCTAACTCCTCGGACTGTTGTCCACTCCTCAGTGATGAAAGCAGCTGATGCTTGCCATTAAAGTTGTTAAGACACATAAAAGCATCAATACTTAATTGATCATTGATCAGTTCCATCACTTAACATTTCTCAGATCAAAAGGGACCCAAACAAGACACTCTGACTTAGTAACTTAGATATTTTTCAGATTTCTTTCCCTTTCGTTCCCTAGTTTTGTTTTCATTGGTGCAGTTTGGCTTTTATCTTTAAGACCCAAGTCACAGAGGTGTAATCCAGGGTGGGATCAGCTAGTGAAAGCATCACGTTTGTATACCAACCTAAGAGAATGGTCCATTTCTGCTTCAGAGCAGACCAGAGCACTCTTAACACACCACGCACAGTAGGAATATGTGAATAAATATTTTTAGCGCAACAATGGTAATCAGGCCATCCATAACTTATTCACTGCCATTGACAACTTAAGTCGTCATTTTAAATCCAACCGTTTGCTAAACTAAAGTCGTCATTGGCATGTTTTTACTGTGTGGGCATTGGAACGAGCCCCCGCACCGTGAGAACAAACATCTCAGCTCTAAAGCCGATCTTCATCCGCATACGTCACACGTCACGTGACCGGGAAGCAGAAAATACGTGTGTTAGGAGATCGTTTTGGGCCGCTGCTGTAAAAAAAAGTGAGGCGCGAACTGGAAAAGCTTCTGCCGATCACAGTTCAACAACGGATTATGAAAGAACGAATAACGCTCGAAACACACGGATTCTCCCTGATGTAAGAGGTGAGTCTCCGCTTTGTTTTGGTTGTTTTGGTGTCAACATCATCCTAGCACGCAACATTCTGACTCTTTAAAAAACAGTAAAAATGGTGAGAAACGCTGGCAGCGAAGGGCTTTACCAATCAGGAAACGGCTGGCAGTGAATGAGTTAAAGACCAAGTTTGCTCGTTTTTCAACACGGTTGCAGTGGTCCCTAAATGTGAGTCAAGCTATGGTGCTCCTGTTTCAGGAACTAGAAGTGAGCCCATTCAGAGTTGAGCTGAACACAGCAGGATTTAGAGTCTTAATTCCTGATAATTATACGTCTTGACTCTGATTGGCTAACTTTAACATGACTCTACCACCGACGCTATTTGCTTTGCAACACTGATGTTTTATCTCCTCAAATAACACAAGACTGAAGGAGTTCTGGGGTGTTGTAGAGTTGCTAATGCTAACGATTAGCTTCTAGTAGTTGAGACATGCTCTGCTCTCTCCTGGATGTTAAACACTTCCTGCTCTAGTCATGAGCCAAGATGGGTGAGCCCATGAATGTTAACTTGGCATTATTATAATTTCTAATTGAATGTTTTTTCTAATCCCAGAGTTTCCCATTTTGGCAGCTATTGTACTTGGAAATAGGGGTAGAAGACTTTTGTCACATTTAGCCTTCATGTGAAACTCAGAGTGACCAATAATATTTCAATTGAACATGTAAAACACAGTTTCTCAGTGAACTTTCAGATTTTTGGAAGGGGAGGGTTTGGTCAAGAATTAGCATGATTATCCTGCTGTGTGAATTGGGCCTTACCGGTAAGCTAATAATACAAAGATAGAGGGTGAAACAACCAATAAATGATAAATGACCCACACTTGTAAAGTGCCTCTCAGAGTAAGGACTCCAAAGCACTTTACACTACAGTGTATCATTCATCCATTCACACACACATTCACACACTGATGGTGATGAGCTACGATGTAGCCACAGCTGCCCTGGGGTGCAGTGGCGGATTTAGCAATTTGGGGGCCCAAGGCGAACACAGACATGGGGCCCCTTACACAAAATTTTTGACAATCTTACCTTTAACTGGATTTGCGAAACTCTCCCCTCTTCTGACATGAGTTATTTTCCGTTTTTATTAGTCCTCCTATTTTTTCCTGTCTTTCTCTCCCTTTGAGTGCTTTCAATAATTGCTCTGCTTTCTTCTTCCTGTCAGTGCTCCTGTGCTTTTGCCTTTGTTATTTTTTTTTCTATTTTCTATTTTGGTCCATGTTTTCCTCCCTTTAAACATTTTCCATTGTCTTTCCTTTCTGCTTCCTTTGATGTTTACATTGAAAAACGACGTCACTTTCAGAAGTGAAAATAAAAGCTTTTATGAAGCATGATGCTTCTTTCTCTTATTGGAGCCACTAGGATAACTCCATTTCATGCTTAATGTTTTGTCTTTCGCTTTGGGTTTGTTATGAATGCTCCTGCCTCTCTTCTTCTTCTTATTTGCCCTTGGCAAACAACAATTTGGTGCATTACCGCCACCAACTGGATTGAAGTGGAATGACTACCAATCACTTCCTGTTTGTGCATCACCGTCTTAATAACCCTCTTATGACCATAATTATAACAGCCTGGTATTTTTTTTTATCTTATGGCTGTAAAATTGTAATAAAAAGTGCAAAGTGTGTGTTAACTCTTCTCCTTTTTTCAGAACAACCTCAGCTTTCATTGTATGGTTTGTATTTAGAATTTATTTCTATGAAAGCCTTTAAAAACTCAGCTTAAAAGTGAAAAAAGCAAAAAACGGATTTTTGTTTTTTACATTTATTACTGAACAGGAACTTCAAAATTACTGGGCAAACAATTTGGAATGAAAAATTTAAACTTTGAACTGTAATGCATCTATTCTTAAAAAAGTAAGAACCTTGGTATCTTTTGTAGCAGTTTTTAAGACCATTTATTTTTGTAAACTTTCACACGTTTTTATTTGATGTGGTAGACCTTGAAGAAGTTTCTCTCCAGCTGCAGGCAGAGTCCTGCTCACCTCACACTGCCATGGGGTGCTTCTCTTGCACACCGTGCACTGCTATAACAAAAACTTTTGTTTTAGCAAAAATAATTATTTATTGTAAAAAGATAAATAATGCTGGAATGAAGCTGAATCTTACAATTAGCAAATAGTTGAGGGTTGTTCAAATAAAAAATAAAAAAGACTGAACAAACATTCATACCCTGGTTCACCGGAGATCTGTCCTTCTTCGTGGTCACTGTCTTCAGATATAAGCCTTCTGGGACACCTAATAGATTGTGTTGATTTTCTTTGAGGCATATCCATAATTTCATGCCGGCTTTTTATGCTGATTAGCTTCCCCGTTCCGTTATCCGCTTTCACCTTAAGTGCTGCGCTCCGCTGTGCTCCGTTTCAATCAGGCTGTACAGCAGGATTTCCATAGCTCCGATTGCTTCACGCTATAGATCGTTGGAAAGCTGCTTTTATGTACTTTTAGGAACCATTGGAATTTTTTGAATCTGATCAGCCATTCAAAAGTTATAAAACGGAGCATTTTGGATGACAAACAGCACATCTCTGAATCTGTGTTGTGATTGGTTGCGCTCAAGACAGGGAATTCTGGTGGCT